CAATCGCCTTTGATGCTTGATGAAGGTTTGTAGTCTTCTTCCATCAGGATTTATGCATGCCATACAACTTGCGGGCTTATCCCTTGTAGATCTTGAAATTGACCCACACCTTTAGTGCTTGTCTTATGCTTTCCGTAGAACCTGCAATTCTGATTCAAGCCGTTACAGTGAGAAGAAATAATAACAGGGAAAAGACATGGTTCTCACCTAGAATGCATGATTTTTTAAATGAGGGGAAGTTGTTCATTCTTGCTTAGGTTTTACATTTTCTTTTCGTTCATGATGCTGATCTTAATGTTATTTTCAATATGCAAAGTGTTTTCCACACATTCATTCAACAACAATCAAATTCCGAAACAATCTCCATAGTCCATAGGAAGTTTGGCAAAGATTAAGAACATCAAAGACAATTTTCTTCCTGCCCAACCCTTAGAGTTAACTTACCTTTCAAAACATCAATTAATGCTCTGCCAGTTGCAAGAAAAGCCTTCTAAGGATTAAAAACCTGCCTATCTTCATCAATGTCAAGAATAACAAAATCAACAGGAAAGAATGAATGTACCTACCTTACAAGCATGGTCTGTTCTACAATCCCTTAGGATATTTTATCGATCGATCCCGCCTAATTGTAGAGACATCCTTGTTGGTTTGAGTTTCTCCATACCTAGCAATCTTAAAAACTTCATAGGACATGAGATTAATACTAGCCCTAATCTACCAAAGCTTTTTCAAAATCAAGATTACCAATATTGCAAGGATAAGAAAAAACTTCCTAGATCTTTTAACTTTGGGAGGCAATTTGTTTTGGATAATTGCAACTCCACTCCTCAGTTAACCATTACTGTTCCGTGATCATCAATTTTCGTTTCTATGCTCAGGATATCTTTTTAGGAATTAGCATAGCTAGCCATTTGAAGCAAGAGCTTCAGCAAAAAGGAATATTGATTTGCAATTTTTTAAATACATCCAGAAACTGAGGAAGCTCTTTGTCATCTGTGCTTTCTTTTATTCTTTGTGGAAAGGGGACAGTGGAACATAAGTTACCTTTTCTTATTCTCTAGCGTCAATGGTGGGAATTCTTTCTATTTCTTCCACTTTCTTTTCTTCCTGGGTTGGCCTCGTCCAAATTGTTTGCCGCTTCCAAAGTGATGAGGCTTGCACCTGCTCTTTTGGATTCTTTTTCAGTGTTTGCTACACGGTAACGTTACCTTGAGTCGACGATGCCATTCATGTTTGCAAATTGTCCTAGCTGAATCTCCAAATTTCTTATCGCAGCCTGCGGATTTTATAGGTTTTCTCTGGTTTCGTTCATGAAACCATGACTGCGATTATTAGGAAAGGCATTGAGGAGTCATCATGAGATTCTTTTCTGCGAGAAGGAAACCTGGCTGGTGCGTTCAAGCATTGTTAGGATACCATAGGATAGATTAGATGGTTCCTATAATCTGTTATCATATGAGTTGCGAATAAGGGTAATTCTTCCTCCTTGGTTCATCACATAGTTTAACATTGATCCAAAGTTTGTGGATTCAAAGAGTCCATTATGCATTCCCAATCCATGTTGTCTATTGCACCTATCACAAACTTGATAAATGGAGAATTCACAGGATTAGTAGTTAAAAAACATTCCAACTTTCTTACCATATTATCCACCTTGGCATTTAAGTGCGGTAAATGGCGTCTATTTCAAGACTCCTGCGGTTCTTTTTTTCTTTCGGAATTGTTTTGGTTTAATGGCTGTTGCTTAGCCATCTCTTCATTATCAATTCCATATGCTTCATCAATTCCATTTCTTGTTTCAAAGGATTCCACCTGTAGCTCATCTAAAGTTGATTTTTGATGTTAGGAGATAATGCCATTATAGAAAGTTGTACCTATAACCACTTAGGCCAAATTAGTTGATGTGGGCCACTTTCTCAACAAGATCCTTTAATTTTCCCAAGCTTCATACAAGCTCTCTTTGATCAGATAAGCAAATGCTTCATTATATACTCATTAAGCAGCTTTTGTGGTTTTTGAGGAATGGAAAGAATTTGCCCTTAAAAAACTTTTTGAGCTAATTCTTTCCCATGTGTTTGAAAGCTTCCAGCGGAGGGCATGACTTAACCAGGATCTGCTTTATCCCTAAGAGATGAAAGGAAAAAAGTTCTTTAATTTGATTGCATCTTCAGAGAACCATCCATTCTGTTGAAAGTATCACAAAAATTTCCAGGAAATTTGTGATATGGGCATAGGATCTTCACTAGGGCAAACCCCCATATTTGAGATCGATGGTGCGAAGCATTGGATAGTTGACGGGTTAATCTCAAAAATATTCAGCTCCACCCTAAGGTCTTGTAAATACTTGAGGTTGCCCATTCACGATTAGGTGTGTGTAATCTCGGCAAGTACGGACCGGATGTTGAGTGGAGGTCCAATTAGTTTTCATTTAAGTTTTGATTTTTCGTTGGCCATGTTGCTTGTTGTCGGGTTTGTTATCCCGTGCTCTTACTTGCAGCGTGTGTGCCCTTATGATAAGTTCTTTTAATTTTTGGATCAAAGACTAGAGGTTCATCCTTCTCGATCTTCTACATAAAACACCTGAAATCAATTCGTTAAAAGAAATTAAATAAATTTAAAAAGAATATCTAAATTAACAATTTAGGGGTAATTCGTATGATATTGCATAACACCAATCCCTGGGCCAACGGCGCCAAAAACTTGAACAGTGATTTTCGCAAGGTGACTACGAAATCGCAACAAAGTAATTATAGAGTAAGAGAGTATCGTATGCCACAGGGAGTTGTATATTTCAAGTAAAACCAAAATATTGTTAACCTTTTATTATTTAAAACGACAATAAGAGATGAATTGTTGTTAAGGGAAATTAAAATTTGGAAAGTTAAAAATAGAAAGAAGATCAAGCAATAAAAATTTAGGTAAACAAGAAATCATGGGAATTGAAAGTACGTAGGGAATTTGATTTCACTTAATTCTATCCAACTTATTTTTTATTAGTCGCTTAATCAATTTTAATTTGTTCAAGTAGGAGAAACAATCATGGCAGCACTAACAAGCCTCCCGATGTATTGTTAGCTTTTCTAATCTAGTCTTAATTCCAACCTATTCTTCTTAATAGCCACAATTAGACATAAATTAATCATTAGTTTGGTGATTGCTTTTGTAATCATAAACCTAAGATCATAACTTATGAAAACCCCCCCTTAAGTCAAACCATATAGCTTCCCATCAAAGTTATTATTCTCAAGTTAATTTATTATCGTTACATATCAAAAACCCTTCTCCCGATTAGTGATATTGAAATAGTTCAATCCAGGGGAAAGAATTATGCCGCTGAAAAGCTTTAAGCCTTAATAATTAAATTGTCTAACCAAGAACAATGAAAAACAAATCTAATATTATAAATTGGAAATCGAATTAAGTACATCAAATCCTAGTATAAGAGTTTAGCTGGAATGTTAATTAAATAAAACTCATAATACTTGAATCAATCTTCATAATCAGATAATAGATAATGAAAAAGAAAACAAGGATTAAGAGTTTAACGATAAAAACTAGATCACAGCTATGTGGATGGCTTCCTTGAAGTCTTGGCACAAATCTTGATGCTTGAAATCTTGGGAGAGAGAGAATTATGCCCAGAAAAACAGCCTAAAACGAAGAACCCCATCAAATGAAAAAGCTCCCCACTCTTTATTATAGACTCCTGAAGGCAAATTTGACTCCGTTTAGGGAAATAGAATCCTTATATAAGTACAAAATCTTCTTATAGGAGATCATTGACTGTTTAGGCCTTGGATTTCTTCTTATTTAGGGACTCCTTTCTCTTCCAAAATAGGTCTAGACTTGATTAGTACGTTTCTAGGAAACTATCCGAGGTGGGCTTATGTGAGAAAGGATTATTTGCCGTTTTAGTTCACGCCAGTTCTGCCTTCGAAGCACGGGCGTGCCACGATGCACGCTTTGGTGTGCTAAGTTCTGGAACTTGGTGTTGAGCACGGGGCATGCTAAGGCAGGCACAGCGTAGGCGTTCTCTTCTTGTCTCTATCCTTCCTAGGTAGAATTTGTTCATGGGCGTGCAGGCTGGCCACGCCCTGAGTTCTTCTGGTGCACGGCCGTGCCTTCTAGCACGA